AAGAGGGAGAGAAAGAAAAAGAAACAAAATCAACCATGGCATTAATTCCAAAAAGCAAGGGATTGATCTGTGATCAATATGAACAATGAAGACAAGCAGAAAGTACCAATGAGGATGATTTTTCTGCCAACTCTTTCATGCACGTTGTACCACAACCAAGGAGAACTGCAGAGAGGAGCATCCCTGCGCTCCTGAGAGGAGAGACGGAGGGGCGTTTCTCCACTGAAGAAATACATCTCCGAGGCTTTTCCTCCTTCACAATTGGCTTCATTAGCATTTCAGAAAAGATTCTTTCTGCTCATGTGTTTTACCCTTCTGATATTTGTTCTTCATTTTCAGGCAATTTATCAAAAGAAGTAGAGTGATCCAGATTAAGTGTATGGGTGAAATGTGATTAAAAAGTGATATTCACGGGTTTTTCTTACCCCCTCGAAAATATTTTTCTTTGTGATGTACGAGTCACCCAGCATTTTTCAGGGATGGTGCAAGTGAGTCCAAGTGACAGTGCAGTGTGACAGGGCACTGGCTACGGTGCCAGCAGTGTGGGGGTCACATCCTGGCTCTGCTGTGTGACCTTGGACAAGTCACGTACTCTCTGGGTGTGCTCATATGTAAATCGGGAGGTGTCATACCCAGGAGACAGCCGCTTTGCATCACAGAACTGCTGTGAGAAACAGGACAAAGCATGATGATATTTGGGAAAGTTCTTTGGAAATAACAGTTACCCACAGGCCAGGTGGTTTTACTCCACGCCGCCCTGTTTCAACGTGCTCAGGCAGCAAGCTGCAATCACCCGGAGTGCCGGGGAAAGAGGCTTCTGTTTAATTTGTTTTTCTGGTGTTTTCAGAGGTTTAATTAAAAGTCCTTACTGATGGAACACTTCTTATAAATTTTTCTATGCTCTACCTTATCACCATATCAAGCCCCAAAAAATCTTCCTTTTGTGTAAAGGTGGTGTTTGTTAGCTTTCTTCTGAATAAAGTTACTATTTTTCCCCTTATAACTTAAAGTAGGCCTGGTGCGGTGGCTCATGCCTGTAATCTCATTACTTTGGGAGGCTGAGACAAGAGGATTCACTTGAGCCCAGGAAGCCGAGGCTGCTGTCAGCCATATTTTCACCACTACATTTCAGGCTCGGCAACAGAGAGAGAAAAAAATTAAAAAGTAAGTTGTGGAGAGATACTCTGAGACTGCATAAGTATCTTCCTCCTGTCAAACCTTCATCCACCAGGTTTAGCATTTGGTATCAATGCATTTCTTCATTCTTTCCATATTTAGCAGCCAGCACGCTGCCATAAGGGTTTTCCTCTCCCTAATCAATTTATCACTTGTTTATCATTTATTCATTGACAGCAATATGAACTCATGGATTCTTGTTCCATACGATGGGTTACAATCCCCCACGACCTTGGTTTGATTTTTATATTATCCCCACGTTGGCCAGTAGGGGGCCGCAGCCAGCTTCCATATCCTCCCATCACAGCCCTTGCTCTGTTTTCCTGACCTTCCAGCACAAGTCTTTGCTCTATTCACAATAGCAAAGATACGGAATCAACCTAAGTGTCTAGCAACAGAGAATTTGACAAAGAAAATGTGACATATATTATTATACTATATATACAATATTACATATTATTGTATATATAATTCTATATAAAATATATAACTTGTATATATAATACACTATATTAATACAATATAGTATATATAATAAAATATATAATATAAATATTATATAAATATACACTATATATTACATTATATGTTATATAATATATAAATATATTAATATGATAATCAAGGCTCACTGCAACCTCCACCTCCCCAGATTCAAGCAATCCTCCTGCCTCAGCTTCCTGAGCAGCTGGGATCACAGGCGTGAGCCACCACACCTGGCTAATTTTCACATTTTCGGTAAAGACGGGGTTTTGTCATGTTGACCAGGCTGGTCTTGAATTCCTGAGCTCAAGCAATCCACCCATCTCGGCCTCCTAAAATGCTGGGACTACAGGTGTGGGCCACCCCAGCTCAGCCTAAGATTATTTTTCATTCTTGCAAGGACAGGTTTCTTACAAGTGTACATTGCATAGGGATGAAGCCTTGGCTTTCAGTGTACCTATCACCTGAACAGTGAACACTGCAGCCAGCAGGTCATTTTTCAGCCCTCACCCCTCCCACTCTCCCACCTTTTGGAGTCCCCAATTCTGTGTGTGCCTGTGTGGCCACAGTGAGCCTTGATTATATGTTATATAATATAGTCATATATAACAGTCAATTGTATGTATAACAATATATTATTTATATATGAATATATTAAATATTATAACATGTACATGATATATATGTACAGAATATATAATATATTACATAATTATATATAATATATAGATGCACAGATCATGAAATACTATTTGGCCATAAAAAAGAATAAAATTCTGTCTTTTGCAGCAACATGGATGGAACTAGAGGCCATTATCCTTCGTGAGATCACTCATAAACAGAAAGTCAAATAAGGGATGTTTTCACGTATAAGTGGGAGCTAAACAGTGGGCACACAGGGACACACAGAATTGGAGACTCCAAAAGGTGGGAGAGCGGGAGGCGTGAGGGCTGAAAAATGACCTGCTGGCTGCAGTGTTCACTGTTCGGGTGATAGGTACACTGAAAGCCAAGGCTTCATCACTATGCAATGTACACTTGTAAGAAACCTGTACTTGCAAGAATGAAAAATAATCTTAGGCTGAGCTGGGGTGGCCCACACCTGTAGACCCAGCATTATAGGAGGCCGAGATGGGTGGATTGCTTGAGCTCAGGAATTCAAGACCAGCCTGGGCAACATGACAAAACCCCGTCTCTACCAAAAATGTGAAAATTAGCCAGGTGTGGTGGCTCACGCCTGTGATCCCAGCTGCTCAGGAAGCTGAGGCAGGAGGATTGCTTGAACCTGGGGAGGTGGAGGTTGCAGTGAGCCTTGATCACACCACTGCACTCCAGCCTGGGTGACAGAGTGAGACTACATCTCAAAAAAAAAAAATTAAAAATTAAATATATCAATTTTTAAAGTCTTCAAGCCGGGCACACTCCTGTAGTCCTAGCTACTTGGGAGGCTAAGACAGGAGGATCACTTGAGCTTAGCAGTTGGAGGCTGCAGTGAGCCAAGACCCTGTCTCTATTTAATTAAAAAAAAGTCTTCAGACATTACCAATTGCCCTCTGCCCATTGAGAATCACAGATCCGAAGCACTGGACCAGTTCTCGCTGTACTGCTGAGTGTGACATTCTGCCTGGGTCTTTCCTATGGCCAATTAAACACACTTGGTTCAGCCCCACCAGTGAGTCCTTCAGGCAAAACTCAAACCCCAGTACTCCAGCTGTTAAGACCAACACCCAGATGTGCCTGAGGAGATAAGGTCATCTCAGTAGAAGTCTTTGCACATAGCCCCCAAACGCTTATAAACTGTTAATGCCATCCACTCCCATCATTGGCCACAAAAGCAAGCGTGAATTACAGACTCCATTGGAAGCCTTCATCTCTGGCCTCCTCCGTGACTTCCATTGCCCAAGACCCTGGACACCTCACTCCAGGCCACAGCTGCCTGACTGCCGCTGTGCTTTTCATTTGGGTCACTCTCCAGATGGTCCTTCTGGCTTCTTGGACTGTAACATTCTCATGTCTAAGCCCCACTCTGGCTGCCGTGCCTCCTTTGACTCCAGGGAGAGACTCCACGCTCCTGTCCCAGCCAGCCACAGCTCCCCGAAAAGCAGGGGCCTGTGGGATTCACAGTTTCAGAAACCAGCAAGAGCGCACTGGTGCCCCAGCGGTTTCCATTTGACACCGGTGAGCAAATCCAGAGGCACCTTCGGAGCGTCCCACTGGGCTTCAGAAAGGCCACCAGGGCTGGGAACAGCTCCAAGAGGAAGAATGGAGGGGAAACGAGAAGAATGCTTGTATTGTTTGTGTTTTAAAAAGAACCCGTTAGGGTGAGCAGTAACCCATGCTAACAGGCCTTAGTCAAGCAAGCAGTAGCAGCCAACGGACAGTGAAACTGAAAGGGAAACTTGCAGAGCTTCCACGGAAAGTCCGCGGATGAGAACAGCCCACATGAATACGGTGTCGACTGTCTCCCAGGCCCTGTTTCATTTTTCCCTGGGTGTCAGTGGGAAGCCACACATTTGCAGAACCAATTATCTCTGTTCCCCAGAGCAAATAAGATTCGCGGCATATAAGAAATAAATAATTAAATAAACAAATAAGGAAAAACAATTCACAGGTTCCAAGGATTAGAAGGACAAGAAAGTAAGTAATGGCCGGGTGTGGTGGCTCGCACCTGTCATCCCAGCACTTTGGGAGGCTGAGGCGGGTGGGTCACCTGAGGCCAGGAGTTTGAGACCAGCCTGGTCAATATGGTAAAACCCCATCTCTACTAATAATACATAAAAGCTGAGCGTGGTGGTTTTCGTCTGTAATCTCAGCTACTCCAGAGGCTGGGACATGAGAATTGCTTGAACCCTGGAGGTGGAAGTTGCAGTGAGCCAAGACTGCACCACTGCACTCCAGCCTGGGTGACAGAGTGAAACTGTGTCTCGGAAAAAGAAAAAAAGGAGAAAGACAAAAAGTAAATAAGAAAAATAAATAAAAATAATAATAAAAGAAAGAGATTAGCAGCGTGGCAGCAGATGCCACAGAGAGGAGGGGGCAGCGGCCCCCACATGGGTGTACGAGCAGTGCCAGGGTTGGAGTTGGCGGGAGAAAGGTGGAATCTCTGTAGCCTTATGGAGGTTGAAGATGCTTTTGCAAAGGTAGTGTAATTAATTAACTGTGGGAAACAAGGGGTCCTTTCTGATCTTTACAATTATGCTTGTATTGGGTAACCTGATCATTGAAAGAGATTTCAGCTAAGACAGAGGACGGAGTTCTGCTTCCTGTCCGACTCTGGCATCTTTGCTGAGGGTCACATTGAGCTGCAAGGTGCGTCGGGGGTGCCTTTAGGATTCAGCACCATGGAGGAAGACATCAAGACCAAAATCAAGAACTACAAGACAGCCCCTTTTGACAGCCCCTTCCCCAACCAGAAGCAGAGCAGGAACTGCTGGCAGAACTACCTGGACTTCCACCTCTGTAAGAAGGCAGTGACCACTAAAGAAGGCGACGTCTCTGTGTGCGAATGCTACTGGCGTGTGTGCAAGTCCCTCTGCCCCATGTCCTGGGTCACAGCCTGGGACCAGCGCCGGGCTGAAGGCATGTTTCCTGGGAAGGTCTGAACTGGCTGCACCACCCTCTCCTGCGTCGTCCGTCCTTCTACCAGGGTGGGAAAGGCAGACCTAGTACCCAGTGATCCCCACCCTGGGATCCTAAATCATGACTTAACTGCTAACAAAAACTCATTGGAAAAGTGGCAAAAAAAAAAAAAAAAAAAAAAAAAAAAAAAACACAGATGATGAGGACCTTCCAAAAGTCAGTCACTCGCCAGATGTCCAAAGTGCCGGGTTGCCCAATAAGAATGCATGTTATTTTGCCCAAGTGGTACCAAATGCCATGAGGCCCTGGAACACGGGTTGCAATTATTTTCTTCTTTAAAAGATTTTTTATTTGTATAAATGGATGGGGTACAAGTGTAACTTATTACAGTGGTGAAGTCAGGGCTTTTAGTGTATCCATCGCTCGAATAATGTACACTGTATCTATTAAGTAATTTCTCATCACCTGCCTTCTTCTAAGTCTCCAGTCTCTATCATTTCACACTCTATGTCCACGTCTATACATTTTGGGTGTTTTTTTTTTTTTTTTTTTTTTTTTTTTTTTTTTTGAGACAGGGTCTTTCTCTGTTGCCCAGGCTGGAGCACAATTGTGCCATCACAGCTCATTGAAGCCTCAACCACCCAGGCTCAATTGTGGGAAGTAAAAGTTCCTCTTCAAAGTTTCCTTTCCTGTTAAAGAATAAATTATAAGTGTGCTAATAACCCTTTGTTAAGCCCTATCCTATGTAAGATGGGCCGGTGCAGCAGATGGTCCCTAAGCTCCCGCCGTTGTGCCCTGACTCTGAGATTGGCATCATCAGAGAACCCGTACAGCCTCATGCAGCCTTTCCTTTGGGATCACAAAGGTTGTGTATCTCCCCATTTCACTTTAAAATTAGCAGATCTTGGAGATCATCAGTATAAAAGTCATATTAGTGTTTTCCTAACCCTACATATAATTCTCCTTACTCAGGAGAAGTGGGGGCTGGGGAAGACTTGAGGACACCATTTGGTTCTGGGAATGAAGAGGGCATACAGCTCCCCAGCAACCAGCTCTCCAGGGCAGCTCTTGTCTCTTTAGCCAAAGTTGGAGGCAGGGACTGCTAGACCTCTTTCCCTGCTGGCCTCTCGCCTCTCAACTCCAGAGAGGCATGTGGAGTAGGGGTGCCAGAGAAAATACAGGATGCTGGTTAAATCTGAGTTTCAGATTGACAATTTTTTTTTTCTATTAGATATCCGAAACATTACCTGGCTCAGTAGAAGCATGCCTCAAATATTGCAGATGTATTTGCTAACCCTGACAACCCTAGCTGGCAGGGGAATGGAAGAGACCAAATAAGGAAGTGGGATCCCAGCTGGGACTGCCCCGGAGCCCTGGACTTTGGCCTTGGATCTCCCAGAGAACTTCCCTTCTCAGTGACAGGCAGCGAGGAGGAAGATAATTGGCTTCTCTTAGGGCCTGTGGCTGGAGGGAAAGTCAAGTTCAGATGGGTGGGGAACTCTAGGGGGTTTCCCTGAGGATCAGCAGGAAAGGCAGCCACATCCACGCTCACTGAGAGCCAACTGCTTCTATGCATCAAGGTCTGATGCCAATGGTGCATGAGAGGGGCCCCTAAAGGCAGTCCCTGCCCCCCTCTCCAGTGAAAGGCTGCTCCTGCAAATGAATGAATGGAGCAGGAGGCCATGGAGAACCTTCCAGAGCTGGTTGGCTGGGAAGCCTGAGCTTTTGCAACTGCCAGGGCCTCAACCCTGTCACACCCAGTGACCTCATTTGCTTATAAATATAGTATGTTTAAAACTCTTTTTACTATTTTGAAATGACAGCCCAAAATTTATTTTTAAATTTATGCAATGCAACAGCTATGACATAACGAATCGGTAGATTCCATTTCCCTCTGCGTGGAATCACCAGGAACTTGACCACTACAGTATGGATTGAGATAGATACGCTGTGCTCCTGACTTCCATACTTCCAGAGACAGTAACATTATTAATGTGACATTATGAAATTGTAAGCAATTCTTGGCCAAGTTACAAACAACACACAAAAAGTCTTCCCTTGACTGACAATCAAATGTCCGAGAAAGTTCCATGTACTTATAACCATGTTAATAGAAAGGCCTGATGACTGGGCACCATGGCTGAGACCTGTCATCCCAGCACTTTGGAAAGCTGAGGCAGAATTACTTGAGGCCAGGAGTTGAGACTAGCCTGGGCATCATAGCACACCTCCATCTCTACAAAAAAATAAAACAAAACAAAAAGGGCTACATTTGTCTGTAAAATTTGTGTTCAGGCTGAGGTCATTGCCCTTGGGTTTTTCACCTGTATGAATGTTCAAGCTGTGGCCAGATGTGGTGGCTCACGCCTGTAATCCCAGCACTTTGAAAGGCTAGCGTGGGAGGATCACGAGGTCAGAAGATGGAGACCATCCTGGCTAACACAGTGAAATCCCACCTTTACTAAAAAAAAAAAAAAAAAAAAAAAAAAAAAAAAAAAAATTAGCCATGCATGGTAGCACACGCCTGTAATCCCAGCTACTCAGGAGGCTGAGGCAGGAGAATCACTTGAACCCAGGAGGTGGAGGTTGCGGTGAGCTGAGATGGAGCCACTGCACTCCAGCCTGGGCGACAGAGCGAGACTCCATCTCAAAAAAATAAAATAAATGAATGTTTAGCTGTATATTTGGAAATTGTCTAGAGCACAGGCTGATTTTTCACTTCGCATGGCTGACGTAAGCGAAGTGGAATGTCTGTGCATTAAACTTTAGTAGTGTCCCCCAATTATTATTATATTGGGGGAGTTATTTTGATAACCCAACCATTCCCCCACAGGGAGGAGGGAAGAAAGGGGGCCAAGTATGTATTGATTGGCTATTGATAGTGGCCAACCATCATGTATAGCTATTTACATATTTTTTATTCAAGCCTTGCAACACCTCTAATTAGTGCACATTCTGATCGTCATTTTACAATGGAGAAAGTGCGGCTCTGAGAGTTAGGTAGTGTTTACGTGTGCACAGCCTGTACATGGAGAAGCCTGAATTCGAATCCAGGTCTGTTTCAATCCACAGTCAGACATTAACAACAATGTACTAATGGCAAAGGGGAAAAAGCAGTGGTTCCTAGTCAAATCTCCTCTAGAAACTTGATGAAAAGGAGGGGGCAGGTGGTTTTGTTGGTTTTGGCTTGTTTTGCATGACATGGCATAAGAATTAGACATTAGACCAGGTGATTTCTTGGGGTCTATCCTAATCCAAAGAATTTATGTTTTTGTTAACCATGTTAACTTAAAAAGTAATTTTTAATAGTGGACACTTTGGACTGTCAATCACCCCCTTTTTTTTCTGAGCTGCATATTTCTGATGTTTTCAGTGTGCAAATTGCCAGCAGGAAATCCATCCCTCTGACCTGGAAGTCTGTCATTTGGGTATTGGCTTCTGCGTTTGTCAGATGCCCCTGGTGCCATCAGGTGCTAGGTTGTGTCAGTGGTGACTGATCTGAGATGTGAGGTCTGCCTTCTCTTTGTTTGGGTATCAGTCCCAAGAGCCATATGGCCTCAGCACTCTGCCACTAAGTTCTGCACTTGAGGTCTCTCTCTCTGGGGAAGTGGCCTTGGGTGGCCCAAGCTCTGTGTTAGTGGACTGCGGACCAGCACTCAGGAAGAAGGCCTCTGCAGCTCAGCATCGCAGGACGAATCTAGCAGATCTGCTGCCTCATTTAAGGACCCAGGACACACAGGCCCCTCCGCTACAGTCAGCACAACTCAGCTGCACCTGCTGCACGCCCGTCACTCCTGCGGCACCAACACCACCCAGAGGCGTCACCCAGGGAGAAGACAGAACCACCAACAGGTTCTCCTGTGAAAGCACAGATCCAGAGAATGTCCCTGATCTTATTTCAAATATTAGTTCCAAAGGGCTAGAACTGCGGGACAGAGGACACTCAAAATAAAGATTGTGTTAAAATCTACCAGAAAGTATGATTCAAATTGCAAAAGCTGAATTTTTATATTCTGCTATCAAGAGTGTATTCAGGGAATCATGGGAGAAAACTTTTGCAATCTATTCATCTAACAAAGATCTAATATCCAGAATCTACAAGGGACTTAAACAAAGTTAACAGAAAAAAAAAAAAACCAACGAAAAGTGGATAAAAGACATGAACAGACACTGCTCAAAAGAAGACATACAGGAGGCCAACAAACATGAAAAAAAGCTCAACATCACTGATCGTTAGAGAAATGCAAATCAAAACCACAATGAGATACCATCTCACACCAGTCAGAATGGCCGTTATTAAAATGCCTAGAACCAACAGACGCTGGCAAGGTTGTGGAGAGAAAGGAACACTTTTACATTGTTGGTGGGAATGTAAATTAGTTCAACTATTGTGACAGCCTGGTGATTCCTCAGAGAACTGGAGGCAGAAATACCATTTGATTCAGCAATCCCACTACTGGGTATATACCTAAAGGAATATAAATCATTCTATTGTAAAGATACATGCACACATATGTTCATTGCAGCACTATTCACAATAGTAAAGACATGGGATCAACCTGAATGCTCATCAATAATAGACTGGATAAAGAAAATGTGGTATATACCATGGAATGCTATGCAGCCATAAAAAGGAGTAAGATCATGTCCTTTAGGGACATGGGTGAAGTTGGAAGCCATTATTCTCAGCAAACTAACACAGGAACAGAAAACAAATACTGCATGTTCTCACTTATAAGTGGGAGCTGAATGATGAGGACACATGGACACAGGGAGGGGGAACATCACACACTGGGGCCTGTGGCGGGGGTGGGGGTGTGAGTGGGGGAGGGAGAGCATCAGGAAGAACAGCTAATGGCTGCTGGAGTTAATACCTAGGTGATAGGCTGATCTGTGCAGCACACCACCATGGCACACATTTACCTATGGAACGAATGTGCACATTCTGCACATGTACCCCAAACTTAAAAGTTGAAAAAAAAAATCAAGGTATAGTTCACCCCTTCCCTTCCCGCACTGCAAA